AATGGGATTCTTTAAACTGTCTGTACTAGATGCCCTTGATAACTGCCATTTTCATGGTCTCCTTCCCACCTTTTTTTTTTCTTTCTTTTTCATATTCATGAGCTATACAAGTGCTCTTGCATTCAGCATAACTGCCCATTCACAGGATGCTGTGGATTGACCTACCCTCTTCCCTGTCTTCCTTCCTTCCTTTTCATGTCCTTCAGTATTGCAGTCAGCACTTCACAGGTGCACCTGTGTTCAGCATAATTGCCCTTTCATGGAACTCTGATCATTGACTTCAACCCTGCATGGTGCCTTGTTAAGGCTCCTGGATCCATATGCCATGCACATCTCCTCTTCCATTGGGTTGCTTGCAGTGTTACTTACTGTCCTGCTTTCCGTATATCTGTACCTTCCTTTTCTTACACATTTTACTCTTCTGTCCAAAAGTTGAGGGCAGCGTGCCCCTTCAAAACATTTACATCACCACTCAACATCACATCTCAGAAGACTTCAGTCTTTTTATTCACCACCATCAGAACCTCATGTGTCACATAATAGTAATTTCTCTGCTCTTGATCTAATATGTGAATGTTATATTTTAGCGTCCTGTTGCACTGATTTAAGTCCATGATTTATTTAATCCGTCTGGCAGTGCATACACTCATTTATTTCCTTCTCTCCCTCGCACTACATGTTTCGGCATAATAATGCCATCTTCAGGTGCTTACTTATCCACGTCAAACCAGTTCATTGCATGCCATGTTCACACATTAAAATAACTAAAATATGTATCTATCATATACATNGCTCCAACAAAGGAGAATGGGCGTGACTGACGTAGTGAGGGGCGACGTAGCGATGTGGTATCCTGAACAATTTTAATATTTTTAACGTTTGACAATGTATATGATAGATACATATTTTAGTTATTTTAATGTGTGAACATGGCATGCAATGAACTGGTTTGACGTGGATAAGTAAGCACCTGAAGATGGCATTATTATGCCGAAACATGTAGTGCGAGGGAGAGAAGGAAATAAATGAGTGTATGCACTGCAAGACGGATTAAATAAATCATGGACTAATATGTGAATTTAAAATGAGACATGTTTTTCATTACACTTGGTTTAGTCTTGGAATGATAAGACATCCAGTGTAAATTAGTTTAATATAAATAATCCAATTATTTGTGTGGCCTTTCATGTTTGGGCCCTGCAGGGCCACCTTCTGAAGCTGAACAGTAAAAGGAACTTGCTTTATGAGTGCTAAGGACCTTAGTGTGATAAGTTGTGCAGTTATAATAATAAAATTGGTTAAAATTGTGGACGTTTAAATAGTATTGGTGAAAAAGTTTCTGTTATCTGTTGTATCTTCTGATTGATACATTTTGTTGCTGCTTATCAGGCATCTGAAAATGGCCCCAAAGGGTTGAAACACATAAGGTCATATAAATATCTGGGTTATTTACATTGGGCTTTTTTATATTGCATGTCTTTTCATTACATTACATTGCATTCCATGGATCCAAAGTTAGTCAAAATGACTGTAGGATGTGGAATATGTCATATAAATACAAAACATGTACAGACCCATTGGAGTTCTCACACAAGAGAAACCAAGAATACACAGTGACCACAAACAAGGCTATTTAAAGATACATAAGTTATTTTCTAGACAGTAGGTGTTTACCAACAGAGTAGAATGAATGTGTATTTAAGTATCATTTCAGTGCTATTTTAAATCATGCCTTTTCATTCATAAGACCTTTGAGATCAGATGGCAGGTTATTAAAAATGTTGATCCCAGCATAATATGAGCTTTTCTGAAAGCATGAGAGGTTAGCAATTGGTTTATGAAGACAGTGTTTGTGTCTTGTGTTAACACTGTGTACATCCGCATTCGTCTAAAAATGTTCTTCATTATTTGTAACGAAGTTTATTAATGAATATATATATTCACAAGGCAATGTTAAGATCTGTAGTCTCTTAAATAGATCTCTACAGGAATTACTGGATTTCACACCCATCATGATTCTAACAATTTTCTTTTGCAATGTCAATACCTTTTTACTGTCAGATGAATTACCCCAGAAAATTATTCCATACTTCATTAAAGAGTGAAAATAAGCAAAATAGATTGATTTGAGAGTGTCAGTGTTACTAATATGTAACATGAATCTAACTGCATAACATGCTGTACTTAACTTCATAATCAACTGATCAATATGGTTTTTCCAGTTTAAATGATTATCGATTTGCAAGCCAAGGAATTTTGTGTTTACTCCCTCTTCTATATATTTATCATTATATCCTATGTTTAATGGATATTGTGGTGAGTTTTTTGTTATAAATGTTATTACATTTGTTTTTTCTAGGTTCAGGGACAGCTTGTTTGCAGAAAACCATTTACTCCTTTGTGAAAGAACCTTGCTTGATAACATACAGAAATCAACTCAGTTTTTACCAGAAATTATAACACTAGTGTCATCTGCAAATATTATAGGTATTGATGAGGTCCTTAATGTAGGAGGGAGGTCTTTTATATAAATTGACCCCTGTGGAACTCCCATGTTCAGTTTGAGTAGGTACTTTGGATTGAATTTGATGATTTTATTTCAGTTTTTGTTTTCTATCTGTTAGGTAGGATCTGAACCAACTTAACGTTGTTCCTTGAATGCCAAAAGAATGTAATTTAGTTAATAAAATTTAATGATTTACACAGTCAAAAGCCTTTGCCAAGTCACAGAATATTCCACCAACATGCATTTTTTGATTAATAGATTTCAACACACTGTCTGTTAACTTAAAGGCCGCATTTTCAATGAAAATTCCTTTCCTAAAACCAAACTCTTCTGGGACTAGTATATTGTTATTCTGAAAATAATGGCTTAACCTATTGTGCATAACTTTTTCAAGTACTTTAGAGGAAGTAGTTAGCAGTTAAATTGGCCTGTAGTTTGACATACTAGCCTTGCCCCCCTTTTTTATATAGTGGTCTTACTACTGAAATCTTAAGACGATCAGGAAAGATTCCTGTGAATAGTGAGTGATTACAGATGTGAGTTAATGGGCTACTGATTAGAGATGCACAAACTTTTAAAATTTTACTTGTTATTCCATCATAACCTGAATAGTTTTTTGTTTTGAGGGACTGTATTATACTTTTTATTTCCGTTTCAGTGGTTGGAATGGTTTTAATGCTAGAGAATTTTATAGGAGATGCCTCTCCTAAAAATGAAATGGCATTATCTCTCTCTTCCTGATGCAAGTTTAGATTTTCTGTAATTGTTAGAAAAAATTATTGAAGGCATCTGCAATTTCTCCTGGGTCCTCAACTTTTTCATCATTTATAAGGAGAGATGGTATCTGTTCAGTTAGCTGTGATTTTCCTGTTTCATGTTTTATTATATTCCAGGTTGTTTTTATCTGATTATTCAGTGTTGCTATAAGCCTAGAGTAATGCTGCCTTTTAGCCTCTTTTATAACTGTACTCTGGATTTTGCAGTACCTTATGTAGTATGCTCTCATGTAGGGATTATTACTGCTCCTTCTGTCTACATACAGATGGCTTTTATGTTTACAAGATATTTTTATTCCCTGTGTAATCCAGTGGTTTTTATTCTGCGTAGGAAAACTGCCTTCAGAGATATTTAGAAAAATATGTAAAAAAATTTAAACTTATAATTTGTATCCTTATTTTTGAAAACAGGTTCCCACGTTTCATTTTCTAATAGATGTTGAAATTGAGCATTGGTTTCACTATTTATTTTTCTGGTTCTCTGTTTCAAGGGTGTTGAATTTACTGTAAGAAATTGAGCATCATGGTCAGAGAGGCTGTTGACTGTAGGAGATGTACAAGAAGAGCTTAACCTTGCATTATCTATAAAGATATTATCAATGGCTCTGCTTGAGGAATTTTGAACTCTTGTTGCGAAATTCACTGTGTGTGACAGATTGTATGTCCTTATTAAAGAGTTTACTTTTTTTTCTGGCTGCTTTCATTTAAATAGTTTATGTTTATGTCTCCACAGATTATAAACTCAGACTTTTGATTGTACAGATATTTTAAAGTCGCATCTAGTCTCCTCAGAAATTCATTAACCCCTCCTGAAGGGGCTCTTTACAGGCTTAATATAATTAGGTGAGCTGTTTTAGTTACTAGCTGTATTGCACAGATTCCAAAATCTTGCTCCTTACAGTGATGAGAAATATCAACTTTACTGAAATGTAGATCTGTCGTAACAAAAATACACACTCCTCCCCTCTGTAGGCTCTTTCGGCAAAACTTGAGCCTAACAGGTAACCATTCATTGAGAGGAGCAGCAATTCCTGTTCAACCATGTGATGCTCACTTAAACATAATATGTGAGGGTTTATGTTGTCTATTTCAAAAGAGTGTAGTAATTCATCACTTTTGCTACTCAAGCCTTTGATATTTTGGTGAAAAATATTTATTGAATTTAATGTTTCTACATTTTGTCTGTGAATTTCCAAGACTGCTGGGCTGCATTTAATATATGATAGGCATCTTGGTGCTTTTGAATTTAATCTAAATAGGAGACGCCCTAACATGGGTTATAACAGGAATATCACTTATACCTGATGCATGACCACCAACAACCCTCTCAGCAACAAGCTGCATGAGCCTCTTCTTGCCACGAGAGCTCAGGTGCAGGCCATGCGTTGTGTAAGATTACAAGATTTATGTGACTTTAACACTGTTAATTTTTGTATATATTGTTTGTAACACAATTCAGCTGTTCTGTTACATATGTAGTAGCAGTCTTTACACAGTATGAATATTGAATTGCTAATGTACACCAACTTTACCAAAACACCATCAGTATCTCTATGGATGTAATGAGTTTTAACCCTTATAGATTTTTTATTGTGTAAGTCATAAGTTAATTTGAAGAGAGGATAATACAGGTAATTATTTGATCTGTATTTTTGTAATATTAATTCTCTAGTTAAAGACATGTTACTTCTATTAATATAAGAATTTGTGTATGATAGGTTGGCACGCAGACTACCTTACCCTGTATAGAATCTTCATCATCATCATCATCCTGTTCTCCTCACCTGTCAATGGCAACTTCAGTTTGCAGTGGAAAGTTATCTCCAGCTGTTGTATCCTCTGCTCCCTGTAATTCCAGTACAAGCAAACTTTCACCAGTACCTGGCCAGCAGCTGTTCTCACCAGGAAAGGTGAGTATGTCTGCTGTTTTGTGCAAAGTGGATAGTAGAGAAAAGAAAGAACACTGACATACTAACAGTGTTCACTTGTGAAATTTCCTTTCATAGTGCTACTTAAAATTATGCCATGCCATTTAAATTCACTATCATTAAATTTGTATGCCTCTCATATAATATTGTGACATGCCAACCCATTGTTGGGTGACAGACTTCATAAACAGTCGGTTGCTAAGTTACACAACAGTGGAATGAGATTATGCAATCCACTTCTAAGCACCAGCCCATAAACAAGACTCCTGTGCAGGCGTGAGGATGTCATACTGCAGTAGTGAGTGGGAGTCACATGTCCTCTTTGTTTCCATGAGTGACGTCACATACCCCCACTCAGCCCGTCACTACACAATGCTCGGTAAACACACCTCTCCACTAGGCTGTGATGTCATGCAACAGTGGAGTCCGTGCAGTGACCGTTGCTATGCAGTTGGACGGTAAACACATTCTAACAGTACATTGTATAGGCTGTTTTCTGCATGGTCAGTGTGGAGGCTATGTAACTACAGATACAGACAGAACAGTAGTCGGTCGAAGAAGTTAGCCAGAGTTAGTCAGTTCTTGGAGTGAGCCACGGGAGGAAGAAAACCTAAACTTGTGATTAGAAGATTTTATCAGTGATAGCATGCAATAGCTGAGAAGTCAGCCAGTGAAAACTTATTATGTGATTTCAAGACTTTACGTTGCTACAGCGCAGTAGTATTGGGAGTGTGTAATTCAGTGAGACTTGTATAGCTCCCATGGTATAAATACGTGAAGACTACTGAAGATAGAGTGAAGAAATTAGCGTGTAGTGAGTATAAGTTGTGTAAATCAGTAACCGTGGAATAAGTAATTGTAGTTATGACCATTAAGTGGTTAATAAAACCAATTACCAATACAAACGGTGTCTTCAGTAGCCAAAACATGTTACAGTATGTTTTAAGTGCAGCGATGTGCACTTACTTTTACCATGTTAGTTGAGGGAAAAGGTTGATTACGTTTATCCCTTTATAATTATCAATTTTTAGCTTACTGTCCTTATTTTGAAGAAATAAAAGGAGTATATGACACAAACTCCGTCCTAAGTGCAACAATTTATTATAGTTCTTTCATCTTGCTTTCTTCTACACTACATGTTTCGGCCTTAAATGGCCATCATCAGGTGTATACTCCCACGCAGCTGCTACACTGTACATAGTTTAAAATTTAAAAGACACTAGCCTTCCCAATTGTTCATTTCTCCGTTGCTAACAGGTTTCGATATATCAGAATCCTCCCCGCTGATATCTATCAGATATGTACAAAATCTTTGTTAACCTACACACGTCAATTTGATTTTTAAAAACTGGCACTTTTAAAATCTTCAATTCCAGTTTAAAAATTTCTTTCAATTTTTTTCCAATTTTAAAATTTAAAATTCTCAAAGGTACCCGCCCTATGTCTATAGTGCTGCAGCGGCTACTTCTTACTTGAGCACTGTTCAAGTGTTATTATTTAAATTCGTCAGTCATGAGCAGAAGCTGTGGATCCACAATTCCATCATTCACATTTTGCAGCAGCCAGTTGCAAAAATGAATTCTTGCTGCATAATCTGGTTTTCTCAGCTCATGCACAACTGTTATTTTATACAGGTGAAATTTGATTAATTTTGTGGCTGTGAAAGCAGATCCCAGCGAAACACCAATTTCCTGTGCTAAACATCTTAACGATTTTCGAGGACTGATCTGTAGTCATGCCTCAATATCCCAAACCTTTTCTTCAGTGAGCACAATCCTCTTTGATTGCTTCTTTAAGTCACACACTGAACCTGTGGCCCTCCACTTTTTCACAAGCTTGGATACACACGACTTTGTGGGAACTGGTGAGTCAGGATATTTATGACAAAACTTATGGATACATTTTCTGTTAAGTTTTTTCCTTGAAAAAGTTTTCACATTGAACACACTCTGTTCAGTAGTGAATTTCATTTCAGTATAAATGTAGACCGCCTATCGACACCTCTAACAAAGATGACTATTAATGCAACTTACTGCAGTGACAAGATCAGACCACCTGATGGTGCACGTTTATCAACACTAATGACTCATTCTGTTATCGGCAGTTAGAGCAGCAATCTGTGAGGAATGTTGTGCCCATCCAGCCCTGTTGCCAGGTTTCCTCGATGGTTGAATGCATTGTATTTATATTGCTGATCATAGCAGTTTGATTTTGATACAGTCCATCTAACAAATTCCTTGCTAAAAACAATTTAGATATGTCCACAATATCAGTCACACACTGCACACTGTCTTGAGGTCCACTAACTCCCACTAACTAACATTTTCCTTTGTTCCGTGTAATTTATCCTTGTATCTGTACTGACATCGGCTCCATCAGTGTCATCATTATCTTGATCTCCTATATTATGAGCATCTTCTTCTTCATCATGAGAACTGTTACCTGAATCGACAATATCTTCTTCAGCAGTTACTAATGTAACCGTTTCACTGTTTTTCAAATACCTTGACCTTAATGTTGATGCTGTGGTTCCACTAGTGACAGGAAATAATGGACATCAGAAAATACTGAGAACATACACATAGATACTGAATGAATATTGAATTTCTGCTGTGTATGTACTTTCTGAAGCAGTATAGCAGAGCCAAATGAGATGGAAAAACAATGCAAGTGCTGTAAGTGAATCATCATAAACTGTATTATGAAGGATAATGAATTTTTTGTCACCATGAAGCTAATAATAATCTGTGCTCTTTATTACATGAGTATTACATGTAAGGGAGAATGGACATACAAACATTTTAGTTATGAATTTACC